TCCGATCACCACAAAGCCAATCTTTCCTGGATCTAACCCCGCCCAAATAGTTTCATTTTTTTCATTTCTTTTTTTTTTTTTTTCTTTGCTTTGGTGCTTGCTAGCTTAGCTTTCCTTTCCCACATTAATTTCTCTTCCGAGTCTTACCCCTGATATTTCCTTTATGATGTCACCTAACCTCAGCATTCCAAGGGCATTTAGGTCCGATCAATAACAAGTTAGGATTTGGAAACCGCGTTACGGATATTCCTCCATTTAATAGTTTTTGGCTGAATCGCTTTTTTATTTTTTTTAAAATTAATTTTCTTTCCTTTTCCTATTTACCGCTTTTCTTTAGACGGTTACGTGGGAGAAATCATGTGCTCGTCCCCTTCCAAAAATCCAAAACCAAACAAGTATTGGGTGTGAGCGAGTTGAATGGATAACGTGCGTTTAGAATAAAAATTCGTATTAATTATAATATTTTTTCTCATAAAAAATATATATAAATTAAAAATAATTCTAAATTATAATTTTAGTTCATTAATCTTATAATTTATTAAAAAATAAGAACAAAACTCTAAAAACTTCAGGGTTATTCTTTTATATTTTTGAGTTAAAGTAACTTGAGTGATGATCTTGAGTTGAGTTTGAGTTATAACTTGAGTTGAAGTTGTAACTTGAGTTTGTGTTTAGATGTGTATATTTGAGTTATGATTTGAATTGAGAATCTTTCTAAGTTTGTGTTTGGGTAGGTCAAAACTTAAATTTATATTTAGATAGTATTTTAATAAAAACTCAATGGTGGTGAAAAATTTTAATATGGTATATAGGTGGAGTTCTATTCATCTTTTCATTGTGAAAGTATAGAAAAAAAATCATCTCAATCAGAATTAAAACGAAAAAGTTAAGGTATTTTTAAGAATAAAAAAAATATTGTTCATCAACTTGAGTTCGAGTTTATGAACTCGAGTTGAAGGTGAAACTTGAACTCGAGTTTAACCTCAAACTCGAGTGAACTAGAGTTTAAACTCGAATTTAAACTCGAGTTCAAACTCAAATTTTACAAAAGACCATGAATTTAAATAAAGTTATAACTCGAGTTTAAACTTTTTTTGAGTTTTGTTGCAAAAGAACTACCCTTTTAATTTAGAAAAGCCAAAAAAAAAAAGAGAAGAAATTAATTGGCACTCGCCTAAAGAGAGCGTCCCAAACACAGCCTTCCCATTAATCGGGGAGATAATGCATTTACACAAAAAGGGACCCCACAGCTTATCCGTACAAAGCTACAAATAAGAAAAACAATTGGAGAGTGAAAGAAACGCGCGAAAGTTTTTTTTTCTCTCTAAAGAAAGAAATTACAAAACAAAAAAGAAAAAAGCTACAGATTTTTGAAATCCCCATATTACCCCTGTACCAGCTGTGGAGGTTCCTCCATAAGTAGAGGCAACATCCTCCAGCAGAACCCCTCATCCCAAATCTCCTCCTCTTCCACTCCTCTGCTCTGGCTCTTTTTCTGCTTTTGTTTGCATTCATTTACTCGCCACGAAGAGAAGAAGAACGGAAAATGGCGGGTCTAACAGTGACATGGATTGCTTCTCTTCTCTCTCTAATGTGGATGGCCGAAGCTAGAATCCCAGGGGTCTACACTGGAGGCTCATGGGAAACTGCTCATGCCACCTTCTATGGCGGCTCCGACGCCTCTGGCACTATGGGTACTTTTATTCACCTACATTCCCCAAAAAAATGCATTATTCTCCTCTTCTTCTTCAAATTATGAACTGGGTTTTGAGTTTTGACTCTCTTCTTTTTCCTTGTTCTGTTTTTTGGGCAATGTGTGACTAGGTGGGGCTTGTGGGTACGGAAATCTGTACAGCCAAGGGTACGGCGTGAGCACGGCGGCGCTGAGCACGGCGCTGTTCAACAATGGGCTGAGCTGCGGTGCCTGTTTCGAGATCAAGTGCGCCAATGATCCCAAGTGGTGCCACTCTGGAAGTCCCTCCATCCTCATCACGGCCACCAACTTTTGCCCCCCAAACTACGCTCTCCCCAACGACAATGGCGGCTGGTGCAACCCCCCTAGGCCCCACTTCGACCTTGCCATGCCGATGTTCCTCAAGATCGCCGAGTACCGCGCCGGCATTGTTCCCGTCGCTTACCGCAGGTCAGCTTACCTCTCTCTGTTTTTTCCTCCTATCCTATGGTGTGACGTTTTTTCAGCACTCGTTATTAAGCACCGTAACTATTAAAAATAAACTTTTCTAGAGTCATTATTCTATAAAACTCAGTATTTATTAGTTTATGGTGATATATTTTCCTAGTATTGTTCCGTTATTAACCAATCGCTATTGTAACAAGGGAGTCACATTTTAATCTTTTAATTGGGAGTAACTTCTAAGAGAGAAAAAATAACTGTGCTTTCACGTGATTTTTCAATAGGATTGATTGTCTATAAATTGTAAAAGTGACCCTCTACTTTCTAGTGCTAACTAAACCTGTCCCTTAAAGGAGCCAGTTTAATTAGTCCATTAACAAAAAAAGGTGATCCTTTAAAGAGCTTTAATTTTGCCCACCCCAGTCTTAATTTGTGGTGGGTCAGGACTCAGATCCATGTTCGTAGGGGTCGGATTTGGTACAAATGAAACATTAATAAATTGTCCAAAATGCCCTTAGCATCATTCCAAATATACTTAGAACAGATTTCAGTAGTTAGTTATAACGGTTTGTTGTTTATGCGTCGTCTAGCTGATTTTGAGCCTTTGGGTCCTTTGAGGTCACTTTCAGGCGTAAACAAATATTAAAAGATTAGAAAACATACTGATCCTAGATTGAACGTAACACATACACAGCCACGGGGCGTTTCTGTAATAGCTGCCAAAATAGTTTGGCCTCACTTTCTTTGTCCCACTGTCACTGTGCGCATGCGCGTTCGCACCACCACTCCTTACAATATTAAAAATCAACCGTACTACGCCAGTAACTAACGATAACAATTTACATATAACTTTTTTTTTAAATATAGAGTTCAAATATTCACCTTCAAATTAAATAAAAAAAAGGTAGTCACTTGGGACTAATATGAGTTTAAACACACTAGATTAATGGTGCGTTTAGTTGGTAGATTCGTATTATAATTCGAATTATAATTTGTGGTTCGTTATAATATTTTTTTTTATAAAAAAATACACGTAAATCGAAAATAATTCTAAATATATAAACCTATATTTAGAAGTTTTAGCACATATAATGTGAATTTCGTGCATATTAAATGTTAAATCTAATTAGAATTACATCAAATTAAATAAAAATTTAATTTTAAAAAGTGATACATATTATTAATAAATTTTTTTATTTCATCATGTTATTATTTATATAAGAATCTCTAATATGTTAACATAATTTTTTTAATAATTAAATCTATATAAAATCAAGTAAAAATTAAAAAATATGAAAAGAAAACCTACTCTATTAATTTAATAGATAAATTTCCATTTGTATACTATACTTTGAAAATTTGGTACCTTTCTTTTCCTTGATTAGCGGTGAACGATGATCTGGACATATCCGTACCTTTTGACTGGTAATCTTAGATTGACTGCTAATCAATCATCAAACCCAAGAAACGCAACACAATCACGATTCTTACTGTACTAGTGAGGCCAACCATAGGCACAGTCACCAAAAAGTCCGAGACGTTTTCAGATTTACGTTTCCCAGGTCAGGCCCAAAAATCACGGGCCAATAGATTATTTCGAAATTGACGAAAGTACCCTGACGTTTGTGGTGTTAATTACGCAGGGTGCCATGCCGGAAGCGCGGTGGAATAAGGTTCACGATAAACGGGTTCCGGTACTTCAACCTGGTGCTGATCTCCAACGTCGCGGGTGCAGGGGATATCGTGAGGACGAGCGTGAAAGGGTCGAAGACTGGCTGGATGCTCATGAGCAGGAACTGGGGTCAAAACTGGCAGTCAAACGCCGTTTTGGTGGGCCAATCACTCTCGTTCAGAGTCACCGGCAGCGACAGACGCACCTCTACATCCTGGAACATTGTTCCAGCCAATTGGCAGTTCGGTCAAACATTCACCGGCAAGAATTTCAGAGTCTGACCATCCATATCATATCCCACTATTTTCAAGATTCCCGCCATAATATTGTTGCGCGATTATTTCCCTTCTTTTTTTTTTTTTAAACCTGTTTATTTAAAAATATATATGTTTTTTTTTTTTTTTTTTTTGGTGCTAAGAAGGTTTTGTTTTGACTGGGTGTTGGAGAATGTGAAAGTGTCACAAGGAGAGAGAGGGAGAGCCTTTTTGGCATTTTGATTGGTGGGGTTTTGGGTGAGGAAGTGTGCAAGTTAGTAGTAGTGGGGGTGTCACTGTACTCTGAAAGAGGAAAGTGAAGAAAATTGTAGGGCAGGCTGAAGCGGCAGCACAGAAAAGAATGTTAGCCCGCAGCCTTTAGTATACTAGTTGAAATTCAGTATATGATATGTCATATAATGATATATATAAGATATATATATATATGTCGGAAAAAAGTGTATTTGTAGTAATTTACCCTATAAAACCATGACTTTGGAAACTCGTATTTGGTTTGTGACCTTGTGGTTTGTTCTTTTGAGCATTAGCCAATGATTACTTGGACAAATCAGGCTTTGTGTTGATTGTTATTTCAATTTATAGTTTTGCATTTCGGTTGTGGACAATGTTTGATGTTGCGTATTTTTGGTTTATCTATATACAATGTTTCGTTGCTGCTCCCAACTTCTCTAGAAAACAATGTACAGGTTCCCAAGGAATTCTTAAGTGAAAACATTTGAATCTTTTCTACTTTCAAGAGCACTTGTTCAATCGAGATTAATATTGAAAGCCCAATGTGCAACATTGTAAAAACATCTTTCTTCATTGTTCTTGTGAGGAACTTCCAAGAATGTTCTTAGATATAGTGAGGTTCAACTCCGCAGCATGACTATGCTTGGGGAAGTATCATACAAAATTTAAGGGTGGTAATTCGTGTTAGTGGATCGTATTCGTGTCAGTCCGTTTATTAATCGTGTCAAAAAATATCAATCTAAATACGACATATTTATTAAACGTGTCAAAAATATCAACTCAAACACGACTCACTTATTAATCGTGTTAATCGTCAACTTGTATAACTCGTTTAAATTAATACATTGAATAAATAACTAATATAATAATGACTTATTTAACACGGTCATGACACACTTAACATGTTTATTGATCAATTTATTTATTTTTTTAAAAAAATAAATAAATTTTACCTACAAATATTAAAATTCACATTATTTGTATTTAAAATATCATATAAACCTTTATATTATATCACATATCATTAAATTACAGATGACGCATAGTTAATTGTATCAATTTGTGTTAGGAGGTCAATCATAACTAAACTAATTTATTAATCGTGTTAATCATGTCAATCTGATTATAACTTAAATCCATTTATAATAAACTTAAACCTATTAATCTCATGTAAATTTTAAATCATGTCATCTCGTTACTTAAATGGTCAGTCAAAATAATTCATACAGAATATCCCTTTAGTAGCCTTCACTTTTTACGAGGAACAGTAAAATAAACTTCTTTTTCCTTCACTTTTTCTTGCTTAATAAAGTATGACTTTTACGAGGAATGTATAGCAAATTTAGCAAGAATACCATTAATTATCCGAACTATCACAATATCTCATTATACTAATACGTGTATAGAAATATCTCATTATACTAATACGTGTATAGAATATACAATTCTGCAAAATTTACCAACCATGATATATTTTATTTGGATGAATCCTTTTTTTTTTTCCCCCTATTTGAGTTAGGTTCTTAAGCAAAAATATCCACGACTTCGCTCATATAGCCAGGACTCAATTGATAGGAAGAGAAACGAGAGTATGAAAAGAATGTAATTCTCAACCGGAGGATCAAAAATGTTTTCAATTAAAATCATTTTCAAAGGTTCCAATAAGTTGTCCAAAAATCCAAATGGAGTCACATCATTGAAATTACCCGAAACAAAGTTGCACATGGGTGGGGTTGGGTTTGTTAGCGCTCCCTCCACATGCGGGCGGTAAGATTTCTACCTTCTTTTTGTTTGTTACTTTTATGGCGACAAATAACTTTGGATTCCTACTAAGACCCTGTTCACTTCACCGATTCGAGTTTAGAATTTGAGTTTTGCTACAGTAAAAAGTTCTCATAAACAGTCACATCTAACTTTTTTGCTACAGTAAAAAGCTCTCACATAAAATCACATCTCAACTCGAATTACAAACTCAAATCAACGAAGTAAACGAGCCCTAAGCAACTACCTGAAAAACAAAACGACTTCGGATGCCTTACAATTGTATATTTTATTTATTTATTTATTTTAGGGGATTATTAATTTATAATCTTCTATAGGTCGTGATCTCTGTATGTGCTAACTGGGGTTAAAAGTTCTAATATGTGGAAAGATCATTAGTTCTAATTTGTGATAACTTTAATGAAGTCTATCAAAAGAAAAACTAACCTGATTTCAGGCATCATTAAAACATAAGTTGTGTTTGGTATACTTTTCGCTTCCAAAATTAGCTTCTGCTTGTAGTAAAAGTAGATTTTAATATTTAATAAATCTCTTTAAAAGTGTTTTTTGAAAAATCTACGGCCAAATCAGAAACAGCTCAAAAGCAACTTTAGCTTTTAGATTGTGTGGAAATCAGTATAGTACAATTAATAAAACTTTCATAATACCCATAATAAAATTTAAAATTTACAATATTCTCAATCTAAAATTCAAACTCGTAATATAATATAATATAATATAATAATACAATAATATAATAGTAATATTGTAACAAATAATATCATAATTATATTAATAAATCTAATATTATTATTTTATTATCTAATATGATATTACAATTATTATTTTATAATAATATTATATATTATATTGTATTGATATAATTAGTGATGGAACTTTAGATGGGCCGCCCGCGACCGCCCGAAAAAATTGAGTTTTTGCCCGAGCCCGACCCGCCCGAGCCCAAATTTCACCTTGAACGGGCCGCTGGCTTGTATTAGCCCGCCCGAGCCCGCCCGAGTAGCCCGAATTTTTTTTAAATTTTTTTTTAATATTATGTTATTTTGTGTTAATATATATATATATATATATATTACAATTTGAAATTTGAAATGAACACACGAACTATATAAAAAAATTATTTCTTTATTAATTTTTAAATTTGTAATTCATGATTGTCTCGTTAAAAACCTTACCAAGAAAAACTCAATTGGGATAAAAACTTGGCAAGGAAAAAAGAGTGCAATCATTTTGTGACGAATTACAAATTTTACAAACTTACAAAGTCATACAATTACAAATACAATATCAAAGGTAAATACATATTTACAAATTACAAATTTACAATTTAATTTGAAGCTGAAGGATTGTCTTCAAAATTAAATGTTAATCGATTAAATTCATCGATCAATTCTTGGCTTGCCAGTGAAATTGTATCTTGTAGACGTTGATCGGCATGATCCCAATCCTTAATGCAAACTAAGGCTTCAACAATATCCCTTTGCAATGCATTCCAGCGTTCCTCAAGTATTCTTCATGTCGTACTGAAGGCTTGTTCGGATGAAATAGTGGAGACTGAGATCGAAAATATATCCATTGCCAATCGAGTTAGGATTGGCCAAGTTAATGCCCGTACCCTCCACCATTGAACTAAGTCAAACGATTCTGTCGTACCGCCGACTACTAAGCCTTCACTGAGGTACGCTATAAGCTCGTTGAAGCTGCCGCTGCCACTACCACTGCCACTGCCGCTTGTTGATGAAGATTCACTCACAGCTTATGTTTGAGTTGTCTTCTTCTTCAACCCGAAAACATTCAAGAATGAATGCGGATTTTCGTCTTGTTGTTGTTGTTCCTGTACTATATGAGGTATTCTAAACCTAATCTCATATTTACTATAGATCGAATATATTTTTTTCTTTATTATTGGATATTGGTCCGAACAATTGATGCCTAAAAATTCACCTAAGTTTTATAAACCACATTCTAAACCTTCTAATTTTAATCTAGGGTCAAAAATAGTACCTAAACCATACAACAAAGGCAACTTATACCAATATTTTTAAAAAAAAATTTTCATAGAATGAATAGAAACTCCTAAGATTGAGTCCTCCCTATATTCGCTAAATAAAATACTAATTCTTAAAAGTTCGCATAAAGCTAAATGTGATGTTAGGTAGTATGTATTACTAAGTTTACCTACCTAAAATTTGATACAAAACTTCGGCAATTTGCCAATCAAATTCGTCTATATGTCATACTCCTAATTTTGTACACATATAGTTTGTTATGACATCCTTATAAGGGATGCATTGTTGAAGCATAATGTAAGTTGAGTTCCATCTTATAGGCATATCTAACGCTAATGCTCTAGGAGGTATATTTAATGCTTGTAAGAACATAAACCAATCTTCTTATCTTTGGTTACTACCTTGAATCCATGTAAGACTATCTCTAATTTTTTTAATGTGATTACCCATTTCTTTTAAATCGGATTTAACTATTAAATTGATTACGTGACATGCACAACGTTGGTAAAAAATTGTACCGTCACCAAATAAACTTAAATCATTTTCAAAGAACTCAATTGCTTTTGTATTGGCACTAGCATTATCTAATATTATAGCCGTTAATTTATCTCTTAGTCTAAATTCATCAATTACATTTAAAATTGTATTATATATTAAATCCGCACTATGTGATCCTAGAACACATTTAAAACCTAATATTCTTTTATATAAATCAAATCTTTTAAAGTAATGTCCGGTTACAACTAAATAATCTTTGTTGGCAATAGCAGACTAAATATCTGCCGTTAACGCAACGCACCTGCTAGTCGAGTGTAAAAGGTTTATTAATGCTTCTTTTTCTTTTCTAAATAATTTTAATAAATCTTTCCTAATAGTAGTTTTTGAAGTGAATTGTGCATTAGAATTATGTACAACCTTAATACATCGTTGCCAATTAGGATGCTCTACAAAACTAAGTGGTTGATCTAAAGCAGCTATCATTCGTGCAACTTCCATACGATCTACTTACGGATCGTATTTCCAAGTGGTTAGACCACCGGTTGGGCGATCAAAAGATAATTGTGTTTGGCGGAGTTCAGATCCGCCGGATTGGCTAAGCTTTTGAAGACACTTTTCGGAGTGTCTTCTCAAGTGTGTGGTGCCGTGAATAGTGTCACCTTGTAATTTAGATAAATAATATTTACACTGAGCTATATGTTTAGTATTACCTTCATTGTGGATCTTATCAATTATGTCGAAGTGATCACAAACTGTCGAGGTGCACTTGCATTTCCTCCTAGAGGTTGCAACACTTGCAGACGCAGTCGCACTGGCACTCGCCGCTTCTCCACGCCCACCACCATTGCGACCACGACCTCCAGTACGTCCACCAAGGCTCGGATTAGTAAATTCATGCGTAACAAATTCATTAGTGGGAAATTGCCCTTCTTCCATGTTGTGTTGGGCATAAATGGGAATACCGCTATAACCAAAAGAATCCATTATAAAAAAATAAGAGCGATTTAAGAGAGAGCTTTAGGATAATGTGATAGTTTTTAAAAAAATTTTAAAAGAGATTTGAGAGATTGAAAGAAGTTGAGAGAGATTGAGAGAAATTAAAAGGGATTGAGAGAGTTTGAGTGAGAAAAATGTGTGGAGTATGGGGGGTATTTAGAGGAAAATTTTTGAGTTAAAAAATTGATTTTTTTAAAAAAAATCAATGTGCAACGGCTAGTTAGGTTCGGCGGGTCGGGTTCGGGCGGCAACGGGAAAAAAAAAGTAGGCGTTGGACGGGTTTTCGGGCATTCGAGCAACTCGGACTTTCGGGCAAAATTTGGGTTTTCGGGTCGTCACAATGGTTGGATTTTTGAACGTTTTCTCGAGCAGTTCAAGCTTCGGGCAGGTCGGGCATGGCCGGGAAAATTAAAAAAAAAACTCCGGCTGACGACGGTAGACGACACCTACATGGCGGCGGGCTCCGACGTGATCTCAAAATTCAGGCTGTCCGAGCCCGAGCCTAAATTTCCACCTTGGACGGGCCGGCATATGGGCCTGCCCGCCCGAGCCCGAAAAAATTCAGGCTTCCGACAACCCGCCGGCCCGAAGTTCCACCACTAAATATAATTATATTAATTATATTAATAATAATATAATATTTAATAGAATTAAATATTAATATAATTATAATTCTAATATTATTATCTATTATAGTAGTGTATTACATATGGTTATACAATATATTAATTATAATATATTTGTTTAATATAATATAATAATAATTATATAATATATTATAAAATAATAGTTTTTTATTTTATTAAATATAATAATAAATATATATTATAATATAATATAATCGTAATTTTTAATTATTCACAACAATTCAACCTCATAATTTACTAAACATTATTATACTGATTTTGAAATTAACACAATTATTATAATTATAATTTACTAAACGCTCAGCTATTTTTTATAATAACTATTTTTTCTTTTAACACAGTCAAAAGTAATTACAATACCAAACTAAGTCATAGTCAACATATTCAAAAAAGCAATGTCATCCCTTTCCGGGAAAGGAACGGAGAAATTAAAATCTAGCTTTCAGCAAGGTAATAAGGGGCCCTCTTTGTCCCAAAGAGCTATGTACACGAAAAACTCAAAACTAAGGTGCAGGGGAAACAAAAGCCCAATCCATCTATCGTCTAGCCCAATCAAACAGCGATCAAAGATTGGTCCTTGAAAGTCAATTGAAGTTGTGCCCCTCTGGTTCATGGATTTGACACATGAAATTTAAACTGAGTTCAAAGTTTTTATAAGACAAGACATTATAGTAAAAAGATTTAGGTGACGTTTGGTTCATAAATTTAAAACCACAGTTTATGATTTTAATTTTTAAAATTTAAATTTTTTATGAGAGAAAAATATTATAACAGAACCAAAATTTATAATTCTAAACCAGGTAGAACCCTTAAAATAAACGTCACCTTAATCTTTGCATGTGACATTGTGACGAAAGAGAGCCTTACCAAAATTCTCAGCGCCTTCTCCAAAATATTGCTAAGATTAATGCACATCTTCTCTTCAGTTTCGACTTCGTTTAAGTGTTTTCCATTTCCTCAATATAAAGTCCAGTCCCTCTTTCAGTCTTGCCCTTCTATCCTCTTTAAAATTCCAGAGTTCTGGTACTATGTACCTACCACTCGGATTATACTGGTTCACTTCCTTCAGAGCTCTTACCACGGCCTCATAAACTTCATCACCGAGATCGTCTTTTAAATTCTTCAACTTCTCATCTTCCTCATCGATTATTTCCTTTACAGCAATCAACCAGTTCGAAAGGTGATTTATAGCTCAATATATATATGTGTGTGTGTGTGTGTGTGTGTGTGTGTAATTCAGTTGTATAAAACTTTTCCTTTTGAACTCATGCATGCAACATACAAAGGCATAGTTTTATCAGGACTAACAAAACAATTTGCAATGAGACAAAAGATTCCAATTCAAAAAACTGATAAATGGATCAGTTTTCCATACCACTGCTTTGCCTTTATCTGTGATAACCTTGAAGGGATGCCAGCTCGGATCCCTAAGATGGGAATCCCACATTGACCATAACTCTCTTGCTTTTACTGATGCTTCTTCATCAGGGAATTTCCTTTTAGCAGCAGCGATGAATGGTTTGCTATGAAGACCTCCCAATCCTTTCACGCCAATTGTAGGGCGGGCACCACGGCGTGACGAGTCCTCCCTCAGTCCCTGGAAAGCATGAAAGTTAGTCCTGTTAGTCCGACATTTGCAGTAAGCTCGTCACCATACTAATTTAAAAAGAAAAGACATCAAAAACAGAATCATTATACTAAGAAATTAAACAATCCACGGACACTTACACATAAGGATATCGTACACAGAGTTCAAAAGTAACATGAAGTGACCGTTTTCGTTTCTCTCACAGTATAGATATCTCACGAAAATGGTTGAACACAAGTAATCAAAATGCCTTCATGAAAAATGTACTAAACCACAATTGCCAGAGGGGCTTTGTACCATCTAGGCGTGTTTCTTTATACTGTAACTCTACAACCATTCGAATGTTGAATCAATCAACAGACACATACATGTGGGGGGGTAAGACAAAACAAAACGAAACGAAACAAGGGGAGAATTAGTTCGTACATTGATTGTCTCCTTACGAGCATCCTGCAGCTCGTCATTGCTTCTACGCTCCTTGATAATGAGTGCTTGGTTAAGTTCTTCTAGAGCTTCCATCTCTTCTTCCTTTTCTTTTAGATTTTCTTTGATTTCATCCATCTCTTTCTTGAGTTTCATATCCTCATCCGCACCCATATGTTTCATTACTTCTAAAGCTCCTCTATACCGCTCTATTGTCAACTCCAAAGCTTGTTTCTTATCAAGTTTCTTTTCCAGGTCAATGATTTTTTTATGGAGTTCTTCCTTTTGTTTCTGTAAAGGTTCATATATATGTAAACCACCAAAGAGGGTTACAAATTAATAATTATACAGAACTTCATAATGGAATATCAACATGTTCCTGAGTACTCCAATATTAGGTACGATGAAGAATGGAAAACACACCTTTTGTTCTTTTGCCAACTGGAACATTTTCTCATCAGCCTTCTTTTCCTCTAAGGTAGCCTTCTCAATCTAAATTACAAAGGGAGAATATTAGCTCGTTTTAAATAAGCTTTCAACATTGGAAAGGAGGCATAAATAAGCTGAAATAATGATACAATAACCAAAAATGAAAATTAGAAAGTCAAAATACCGTTATAAATACTTTCAATAAAGAACGGGAATACAACAAGCAGCTAGTAGGTACTAATTAAGGAAACGTATTTAAAGTCAATTTTTTACTACAGTTAACAGGTGCTAAGCGGCATAAAGTTTCCCGGCACCGTTGCAATTTCTATTTATATTCAGAAAGTGAACTCTGATGCGTACAAAATGACAATTTATGTAAACACATCTTGAAATTCTACCCTTTTATTTTTGATCTTCTGAATTACAATTCCCATCGTCACTACAAGAACTTGTTAATACAAATGTATATCGCTGTAAATGAATGGAAGAAATCCCACATACATACTAGAACTTAATTCGAATTATCTGTTTCTATAATGTCCAAACAGTACTTCAGGTTGATTTATTTTAAGATTAAGGTCAAATTACCAGTTTCTTCTCATAGATGAGTTTTCTTCTCTCACAATCATCATGGAACGTTCTTTTTTTCAATTCTTTCTCCCGTGACTCAAGCTCCTCCCTTTGCCTTTTCAAGTCCTGTCTGAACTTTTCATGCCCCTTGATGAACTTCTCGAAGTGCTCACGTTCATTCTGTTGCATTTTTATTTTTTCTAACAACATAAAATGATATAAACTAAGCCACTGTAAATAACAATGGAAAAGAAGAATTATAATTATAACCTCGTCTACTTTTGTCAACTTGAAATGTGAAAAGATGAGCAACAGGAAGCAACACCTTCATTGTAATCTTGTAGAATTGCATCTCTTTCGCTCACCATTTGTCTGAAGGATAGAACGGTCTCAGTGTACTTGCTCTCCATCTCTTTGAGGCACATGCTCTTCGTTACTAAGGTGTCTGTTAGTTTAGATACAAGCTTTGAATCTTTTCTGTGATCTTCAGCTTGTTTTTCAGAGACAGTTTTTAAATCCCCATGCTTACGAAGATGACCTCCAACAATGTTCGTGGATTTATAGTCATCCTCTCGGGCAATCCATCCATAGACTTTCTCTCCTCGATTCCTGTCCGTCTCATAAGCCCTCTTCCCACAGTTATCCGCATCGAGGCTCCTTTCAAATGCCATCGCATTCTCAAAACCGGCCCAGTTTTTGTCGAACTCAACAATTGCAAATCCTGAATGGCCTAGGTGGTTCCACAGAGGAATAACCTTCACAGGGTTCAAACCTTTCCTAATAAACCCATCTCTAAGTTTTGAGCCACTTTCAGCAACACGTTTCCCGTTTCTCAATTCAGTTCTAATGTTAGCCAGAATTCCCATAGAAGGCCAAACAAATTTCTCTTCATGATCGGGTGTTTCACGTTCAACCTTTCTAGATGGCTCTTTCCGGTCTTTAGTATCATAATAATACTTCTTTATATACCTCTCTAATGCTGAGTGCTTAGCTCTCTCTTTTAATTCCCTTTTATACGAGGCTCTACTGAAATCAGAAGCATGGTAGAGAAGCTCCTTTGATCTGTCATACTTTTTTCTGTCTTCAACGCAGAATGGGCATCTATATCTAGAATCAGAAGTCTTAATCTTGGCGGACCCATCCTTTAGTCTTCTATAGTATTCCATTTCCAATTCTTCCTCTGTGATGCGAGACATTGCGAATCTGTAACCAAAAAAAAAAAACAGAGATTCAGCTTATAGTTTTTTTTTCCTACCTGCTTGGGAACAAGCGTACAAATCCAATAATAATAAAAAATTAAAAAAAAAATACTTGTGGAAGCTCTAGCTCTCAATATTGGAAGGGGGACATGAGGCTACCAGTATGATTTCGTAACAAAAGCTCAGCTTATTTTCTATTTAATTTTTGCTTCTACTCATTGAAATCAAAAAGAAAATAAGAATCAAATTCCAATCAAACTTACCAAGTTAGAGAATACAATAAAGAAATAATACAAAATCGATAACAGAGTGAACATAAAAACTAGCTGTGATCTAAAATGAAACTGTGTAAAACCTAAAAGCTACTCAGTACTCAATTTGGACAAATGAGTAAAGTAATGAACGCAACTTTATTTAGGTCATTGGATGACCAACGTTGTAAAAGACAAAAGGTCAATGCCACAAAAATAATTCACGTACTTTAATCTTTTAGATTAAAGATATAAACAACAAGGTATTTATATTATTTTTTACGATTACGTTCTTAAAGAACGCGTTTTCACTAAGCTTAATCACTAAGATTTTGCTCAAACGACTAGCAACAAATTCATAAACCGAAAAATAAGAGAGAGATAAAGAAAAAAAAGGCATAAAATATGGCGTTTGTAGAACTTTCACTAAGCTCACTTTTCTAAGAATTTCCGAAAACGACTAGCATCAAAGTTCATGAACCAAACAAAAAGGAAAAAAGAAAAAGAAGCCGTAAAATTCTCGTTTATTCCGGTTTTTTTTTTTTCTTTTTTCCTTTTCTCAACATTTTCATTATCTTTTTGCTCACTGAAGAAACAAACAGGACCTAAACTAAAAGAAAAACACATATGATGAGCGCATTAAGCAAATGAAAACAGATTCTGATTAAGCATTTAAAAGAGAGAGAGAGAGAGAAATCGCCATTAATGATATGATAGAACTCTATTCTGCTTTTTTCCACTAACAGATTTCAAAACCACAAAAGAAACACCTCTCCGATCGCTTTTTCTGCAAGAAAATGGATCAGAAACGCAAAGTCAAGCTCACCGCCATTTCATGGAATGCACATTGTAGAACCTTTCGTCTGTTGTTTACCTCGAATTGTTTCTCAGGGCTGGAGAGGAATGGAAACTTGGAGACGTTCTTACTCCTGTTTGGAGAGAGAAAAAATAGGATTCAAAAGTTTAGGGAGAGAGAGAGGGAGCAGAGAATGCGGGTAGTGGAGGAGGAGGAGCTTCTGCGAAACGAAATGGCAGAGTTGCTCTGCTTTCTTTCCCATAACAGACTCGTCCTTCCATTTCTTCCCCGTTCTCTGTCTTTCCTTTAAGGAAATGATTATGTACACTCGCGAATGTAAAACAAAAAACGAACTCGCGATTCAATTGGGCGTGCCTTGGGTCATTTGAAGAGTCGAGAGGGTTCTCGTGTGGAGATCGCGAGTATGGAATTCAGGAAGCGAGTGGTTGAAATTTGTCCGTGGCGGGGAATTTTCACGCGTTCCGTGTCTATGTTGTGGCCCGTAGTACACGTGGACGACCGAGAGTGGATTGTCTGTGATGACAATTGGCATTTATGAACGAGCAGAGGCGAGAGACCTTTTTCGTTGCGGCGATGATTAATTATCCTAAAGATTGGCGACGATCAAGTTAATTTTAGTTTTTTATTTTCCTCTTTTTTTTTACTAGTGTTTTGTTGAGATATTAAGGTGGACCCGTTCATTTCGTTGATTTGAGTTTAGAATTTGAGTTTTACTACAGTAAAAAGCTCTCATAAACAATCACATCTAACTTTTTTACTACAGTAAAAAGCTCTCACATAAAATCACATCTCAACTCGAATTAAAAACTCGAATCAGCGAACTAAACGGGCTCCGCTGATTCGAGTTTTTAATTTGAGTTGAGATGTGACTTTATGTAAGAGCTTTTTACTGTAGTAAAAAAGTTAGATGTGACTGTTTCTGAGAGCTTTTTACTGTAACAAAACTCGAATTCTAAACTCAAATCGGTGAAATGAACGGGGTCTAATAATACTAAATAAATCGTCCTTGGATGGGGATTAAGTAAAAGCGTGAGATTAAGACTAGAATTAGTGTTAAAAGTTTGAACTTTGAACCTTGAATTTTTTTTTTTTTTTCCGGTTGAGGAATAAGGATACACCAAAAAATTTCACAGGAACTAAAATGCGAATCTTTTACGTAAAAATAACAAGCTTTGAATATGTGAATATTGTGTTAAAAGTTCGAACCTTGAATGGTTTATTAACAGGCTTCGGATCTTTTATGTAACCAACTTGTTAATTTTTTAAGAGAAAATTTCATATTGGTACTCATATTTTAGCACTATGTGTTTTTAATTATTATAAATTAATATCTTGACATTTTTAAAAATTATTTTTTAGTATTTTAAGATTAATTTTTAAAATGTAAAATGTCAAAATTACTATTCTCATTAATTAATCAAAAAATTAATAATAAATCATACCCCGCACTAACTCAATTTATGAACAGCCTTACTTGATACGTGATGATTTTTGTCATTCACTGTAATAGAAAGATAAAATTTGTTAACAGAAAAAAATCAAAGAGAACAAATGTTATTTTTAAAAATTTGAAAGATAAAATATTAAAAGTGTGGAGAAATTTTTAAAATTAATCCAAATAATTTTTTTTCAATGGAGGAATGAATGCGCCCGCACTCACGCATTGGTAATTTCGTGCCTAATAATGTCAACATCAACATTTGCTTTGGAATATGTAATTTTATTTTATTTTTTCAGGTCATGTCTTTTGTTTTTCTCTATTAGATTAGAATTGTGTTCTTCTACACTTCATTTTAAAAGGAAAAGAAAGAGTGTAAACTATGAACCAGGACGTGTTTATTTACATTGACCAAACGATGACCATAATGAGAAAGTCCAATAAAATGAACCCAAAAAAAAAAAAAGGCTAAACAATTCTGCTAAAAAAAAAAGGGGAAAGAAAAGCATCAAACGAACAGAATGAAATTAATTATGGTCCAATGACATTATTAGCACAAAAAACTAGTCAAGCCGTAAAGCTGTATTTCATACACATATTTAGGGTCCGTTTAGTTCGCTGATTTGAGTTTTTAATTTAAGTTGATATGTGATTTTATATGAGAGTTTTTTACTGTAGTAAAAAAATTAAATGTAATTATTTGTGAGAATTTTTTACTGTAACAAAATTTAAATTCTAAACTCGAATCAACGAAATAAACGGGACCTTAGTCCTTCTGCCCATAATATGAGTTTCTCCTTCGTTTGCTCTTCCACTGCTTCAACACAAACTCTATTCCCTCTTTTAGAGATGCCTTCCTGTCTTCTTTAAAGTTCCAGAGTTCCATTACCGCGTACCTTTCCTTCGGATTGTACTCATTCAATTCCTCCAGGGCCGTCACTACAGCATTGTAAACTTCGTCACCATACTCATTCTTTAGACTCTTCAATTTTTCATCATCTTCATCAATTATTTCCTGCACAACAATTTTTAGTCCAAGTCAATTTTAGATGTCAGTCCATAGGGGGGGAAAAAAAAAAGAAAAAAGAAAGAAAAGAAAGTTATAATTAAAAATTTGCATTATTCAAACCTTGGTATAATTTGCTTTATGCGGAACAATCTTGAAAGGATGCCATCTTGGGTCCCTAAGATAGGAATCCCAAAGTGAATATGACTCTAGTGCTTTATCTTCAGCTTCTTCATCAGAGAATTTCCTTTTAGTAGCAGTGCGGAATGGCTTACTGTCAAGCTCTCCCAATGTCTTCACACCAATATAAGCGCGGCTGAGATTTTCACTCCATCCCTGCGAGGCATATTATTTGTAAGTCAATTATTCTCAAGTATGTGCTAATTAAGCTCTTTATTGTCGCATTTTGATCATAACAAAATTATATTTAATCAAAAGAAATCAGTTGTTCAATTTTCAGTGTCCCACACAAGGTCTAATCAATTACATAATGATATATCATTTAATTAACTCAAACATTGAAACACAGAGAAGTAAGTTGAAAAACAATTCGAATTTTTTAAATCATGTGTCAAAATATGGTTAGTTAGACAATAATTTGAGTTGTCTAGATACAATATGACGAGAAGAAAAAAAAAGAGGTACGTAACATAAGAAGACAATCGAGTAAAATAGACTTATACGGTACTAGGCATATACCTGAATAAGCGCCATACGACTCTGGTGCAGTTCATCGTTGCTTGTTCGTTCCTTGACAATGAGATCATCGTTAAGTTGTTTCATGGCTTCCAAGTCATCTTCCTTCTCTTCTAATTGTTCTCTAAGTTCATCCATTTGTTTTCTGAGGTCCTCATCATCGTTTTTAGCAGTATCGGCATGGTCGATGTTGTCTAAGGCTTTGTTCATGCGCTCAATCGCCAACTCCAAAGAATCTTTTGCCTCAACTAGATTTTCTAGTTCAGCGACCCTTTTCTGGAGTTTTTCAATTTCTTTCTGCAAACAGCTCGTCAAACACGAGATGTGTAAGAATGTAACATAAATTGACTTTCTAATTGGCTTTCTCACTTACTCATAAAATGTCTTGAAAAGCAAGTCTAAGATTAGTAGCAATTGAAACAAACCTTTTCTTCTTCTGCCAACCGCAGCTTGTTTCCAGCATCCTTCTTTCGGCATAAGGCAATGCTCTCGTTCTATCAAAACAAAACGAACACATTAGCTTACTTCAATTAAGAGCTTTTTTTTTTTTTTTTTTTTTTTTTTAAACATTTCAAAGACGACATAAGATAAAGTGATCGTGTAAAGAGCATTATTGTTGCGTATAAGAAAAAAATAATATCCAACATTCAAGGTTGGGGTATTAGGAAAATGCTTAATTCAGTTTTTTACTTTTTTCAACTTAAAGCATATACTTCATCTAAACTAACCAGGCAAAAGGTTTCCAAATCCACCACTAATTTACATTCTCCCATCAAATATTCAAAAGTGAATATAATTGATAGATATAAAGTGGAGAATACGTATTACAATGTACTAAGTAGGCATGTTTACCATTTAATAGCCATTATACATAAGTACTAACTAAATGAAACCTAAAAGCACTCAGTAGTATTTAAACGGATATACTCAAGCTAATCTATCATAATTAATAAGATGGTTAAAGTTCCATTACCAACTCCTTTTCCCGGATTAGTTTTATTCTCTCGTTTTGAATTTCAGCTTCTTCTTGCTCAAGTTCCTGCTCGCGTAACTTAAGCTTCTTCTCTTGCGCTTCTAAATCCCGTACCAATTTCTCTTGCTCGGAGAAAAGCTTCTCAAACTGGTCAAACACATTCTTTTTCATGTCTCTTGTTTGGGACAACAAATATTCCCAACGATCATCTCCACGATCTGTATAGGAATAAAATAACCAACGCATAGTGGTAATTAAGTAGTGACCAAAAGAGATTAAAAAAAAAAAAAAAAAAAAAGGGGACCAAACTTCAAAAGTAAAAACTATTATATATGTTTGTGTGTGTGTGTGTATATATATACCTTCAATATCGTGATGAGCGTCAAGCATTTCATCCCTCTGAGCCATATTTGCGCTCTCAATGTTGCTCTTATTTCTTCTAGAGTACTTTAGGCGAACTTTTTCAGAAATATATGTTCGTGATAAAGAACAAGTTATAAGCATCAAGTTCAAATAACAAAAGCATATATAGCTTTAATAACCAGATCGACAAAAACCAAAAGTAAAGCGGCCATAATTAGTTACTTTTTCTTTCTTGATCATCTGTATATTTCTTATCATTAAATTTCGTACATATATTTCCATTAAGCAAACCGTGCAAATTCATATACCAACGGATCTCGATACATAAATTCAAGCAAATAGGATATATATATGTATATGTATTTACATATATATATATATATATATATCTATATAGGATATGTATATGTATTTACATATCTATATATATCTATATATAACTAGGGCGTGATGAAAAAGCAGATTACATACCTGGTAATACTGTTATCACTCTGTATACAGATTCTGTTTTGGAAAGCCAAATTGGTCGTTTTCTTACTTAGAGCAACGTTGAGCGAAGAAGATCAATACAAAAAAGTAACCAAATCATTACCTGAAAAAGATAGGGGAGTATTTATAGAAACAGTCAAGGAAGTCAAGTCCAAGTTCATTTGGTTTCCTTTTCATTTGGTTTCATTTTGTCTGAAAAAAAAATAAAAAGGTACGTTTTTTTTTTTTAGAAAAAAATCATTTGGTTTCATTTTGACTGAAAAAAAAAAAAAGGTCAGTTCTTTTTTTTTAGAAAAAAATATTGTATAAAATCATAAATATGATTTAAAATTCAAAATAAATACATAAAAAAAGGTCCTACTCAAAACGCCGTCTGTGGGAATCGAACCCACGACCACGTGGTTAAAAGCCACGCGCTCTACCGGCTGAGCTAAGACGGCTACACGACAAACGCATCGATTAAATTTCGATAAAAATAGATAACTTTGTACCTTCTCTTCCTTTCCCTCTTTCCTTTTTTTTTTCTTTTTTCTTTTTATAAATTTAAATAAGCAAACGTGCAGATTGCAGCGTAGCCTACTTTTCATCTTTAATTACTACTTTATTTTTATAAAAAAAATCTTTATTTTTATTTTGTTTTATTTTTCTGAATTTAACTAACTTGTTTTTTTTTTTTTAAAATTAACAACATATTTAACGATTAAAAATTACTTAATAAATTGCAATGAAGAAATGCCAACGTGGTATTTTGCTAAATGTAAAAGACATTATGGTTGTTTTGGATATATAAATAGAAAAAATAGGGGATGTTTATATTTTTATTCCTTATATTTTGAGTTTATTCAAAAACTATGTCTTTGGTTTTTGTTTTCATCAAATTGATACTTTCAAATTAGACTTATTATATAAATTTATACTTTATCTTGATACAATTTATTTGACATTTAAAAAGACCAAATTATCCTTAAAAAAAGAGAAAATAGAAAATAAAAACTTTCCAATTTTACAAAAATAAAAACAAAAAACACAAGAAAAAATCTAGTTCAATGGTACTTTACATATTTTTTAGGTCAAAACTGTAAGTTTAAATGTCTTTTAATTTTTTTTCATTTATCATTTTGTATTTAAGGGTATTTTAGGTATTTTAAGGTTAAAATTGATGATTAATTGTAAAAAAAAATGTATAAATTTGTGTATTAAATATAATTTAAAAGTATATATTTAATGGTAAATATCCAAAAAAAAAAAAAAATGAGGACAGTGCTTCACAAATAATACAAATTTCTATGCTCACTCAATAAAGCTGGCAGGAACCAATCTCAAGGTCATTTATTTTTTGTTCCTTTTTTTGTTTCATTACTTCTTGCCCTTTTTCTTTTTGTAAGGTTAATATTATCATTCTATACGTTATAGTGGATAGTTCTGTATATAAAAAAAATAGTAGACATTTTAAGCTTAAGGTCTTATAAGTGGACATTTATATATACATATATATCCCTTAATATTAACAAAAACTTGGCCCGTCATCTTTTCCTCCTCTATGTTATAATCAAATTTATATCATTTTGCATAAACGTTTCAATAATTATTTATCTTAATTTTTATTCCTAATTGTCATATCACTTGCTTTTAGTTCGGTAAATACCTCAGTAAAATAATAAAGATATTAAAATGTTGAGCCCCCATTTGGTGTGCTCGTTCAAATTTTGTTGATTTGCCATACGTTTGGTTCATAGATTAGAACCATGTAATTAGAATCATTTTCGATTTACGTATATTTTTTATGAGAGAAAATATTGTAGCGAACCACGAACCATGATTCGAATCAGATGACGAATCCCCCAACCAAACAAAAAACTTTAAACTGTGAGGTTTAAATTATAATTTAAATTGGCGTTTGGATGTATAGTTAAAATTTTAATCTAAACAATGAACAAATTTTGAATTTGTGTTTAGTAGATGTGAAACGTAAAGAGAGTAAAGACATTTTTACTGTTAAAAAATGATTTGAACGGTTAAATTTAAAAAAAAAAAAAATTTTAAATTTAATATTTCAATTAAACTTACTAAATACGAGTTTAAATTATACTTATTATTCGAACTAAGTTAAACTGAGATAACCAATGAAACAAATGGAGTTCAAGTTTTGGAATGCGTAAAAGGGTCATTTTTACAAGTCTAACCAATGAACGAAGTTCAAAATTTTATTGGCGACGTAAAGTGAATCAGCGATATTGCACTTCAGTTCCGGTAGTATAGAGTTAGAAAAGAAGCAACTCTTATAGCACGAAGCACCAAGCAACTAGCTACCAGCTGCTAGTTTTCAACATTTGTGAAAATTCTCATAGCTAGCATGACGAAGCAAGCTTTGAATTAGAGCCTCCTTCATGGATTTGAATTTTTAATTCAAATTAAGATAGTGACATTTTTTAAAAAAAATTTTACTATAGTAAAAAAAGTTAAATGTGACATTTTATGAGAGTTTTTTATTATAAAAATTTAAAATTAAAAACTCAAATTCGTAAAGTGAACGAGGCCTAGATCTACTGTAAGTAACTCCCATAAAACATCCCAATTATCAGCACTTCCTAGTTTATTTTTTTATTTTTTAATTTCAAGAAGAAAATAATGTACAATACTATAAGGCATCACTAGTGTTGTTTAATAAAAGGCGGATTCGGGACTCATAGGTGAAACTTATCTCGGTGTTTAACACAGTGACGTCCTCAAACATTTTTTGAAAATAAAGTCTCGTTCATTTTATCGATTTGAGTTTTAATTTAAAGTTTTTACAGTTAAAAACTCTTAAAAAACGTCACATTTAACTTATTTTATAATAATTAAAAACTCTCAAAAAATATCACATCTCAACTTGAATTGAAAATTTAAATCTAAAAAGCGGATGAGTCCTAATTCTTGTACAGTACTTCATCATTTTTTATTATTATTTTAATAAAGCAATATACACTAGTACTATTCAAAACTTTGTCTTTTACCTCAACTCCTCAAGCACTATATATAAACAGGCTAGGGTTTTCAACTACTTCTTTCCTTCTGCTCTTCTTCACGACTCTTGAGTCTTGAGTTATACTCTCTCCCCAGTAACCAAATTATAACCTCATCATAAACACACGTACTTCTGCTAACATAATAGCCATGTCAGGCGTGTGGATATTCGGCAAAAACGGCGTCGCTCGACTGATCAGCTACCCAACCAGGGAATCCTTCGAGCAAAAAGAGCCACCGTACCCGGGCACCGCCACCGCGCCGGGGGCTCGTCCCCGGGTCCTCGTCTACCTCCCAGCGAATCAGGTTATACGGTCTTACGCCGATCTCGAGCTGCGACTCGGAGAACTCGGCTGGAGCCGGTACCACAACTCAGACAGGCCTGACCTCCTCCAGTTCCACCGCTCAAACGCTTCCGCTCACCTCATTTCCTTGCCCGCCAACTTCGCCAACCTCAAGCCTCTTCATATGTACGATATCGTCGTCAAGAATCGCTCTTTTTTTCAAGTTCGGGAGTTCTCGTCGGAGAAAACAGTGCTAGATTGTGATGTTGATGATGATGATGATGATCACCAATCGTCTTAATTAAGAGAGCTGAAAGAAGGAACTAATTAACTAGGTTAATTGTTGAATTATATCTGTAATGAAAAAAAAAATACACCTTATTAGCTATGGCTTAGCCGTGACTATGGTATTTAACCAAATACGGTCAAACTGCATGTGTCTCTCTTTATTGCATGTACTTAGCGATGTGACGACTATAGGTGTTATTTTGTGTGTTTCTAACGTTGAAACGTTGAAATGTTTGCTGGATTTTAGCATGTACGTCTCTTTATGTATGAATATCCTATATTACTTAAATGCATGCTTGCGTTTCTGCCTCTTCTCACATGCTTTATTCTGCGTGCATGTGAATTAGACTGTTCAGTGGTCATGATATAATAACTGGGTCGTCATTACTACTCACAGATTTGATTAATTCTTTTATTAGTACTTGGAGTTACAAGTGCATGGATTACTCATTGATTTCTATAGGCAATATATTAGCTAGATCATGGACTACTAGATCCGCTGATTATCCTGTATGTTTTTCCTTTAACGAGTAATTTTTCAAAACAGAATGTTACAAGGAGGATTCTATACATTGATATCATACAGCTTTGAATTACTTCTGTAAAGTTAAATCCATTTGCTGATTTTCTTAATATGATATTGTTTTAATAAAATCTAACAAGTCATAATTGTACTTAACGATGTACTTTTTTCATATTAATTTTACTTAACGGACACAGTTCTCCACATTATAATAGTCTTACTTTTCTTCGCTGAGATAGGCTAATTTACATGAAACTTTCGAGAGGAGGAGAGAAATTAACTAAGGTGAGCAACCCTATTATTAGAAGAGACGTTTTCTTGTTATTCTCAAGAGACTTTGGTCTACAATTATGAATAATATATTTTAACGTTTTGTCAGCTTGAGTATGAGTAACGTACAGGTCTCAAAGCTGAAGTTTCATGCAAAAAAGCTGGAGTTATAAGCAGAGATAATATTGCGGCTCTGAAAGCTAAGTCAATAGACTTCTACTAGCCAAGCATGATCCTCCACCACTACAGCTATTCTATCCATGTGTTATGTATACATATCTCTCATTTCATTTGTTTTATAAAGAAAAAAAAAAGTCTCTTATTTCATTGTCAGAATATTATTGGGGCCTATTGATCAATCTTGGTTGTACAACGACTATTTGATCAATCTTGGAGTGGGGGGCCATTCTTTACGAATTAAGAACTCAATGAAAAGTAATTTATGTAAAAAAAAAAAAAAACACACACAAGTTGAATTTAAACTTTTATAAAAAAAATACTGTAGTAGGATGTTTTAATTGTGATTCGTGAAACAAGCGGGCCATAAGAATTTAAGATCATGAGCTTGATGTATTATTAACGTTATCTATATATATATATATATATATATATATATATATATTAGAAAGCAGTTAGCTTATATAACATTAACGGTGAAAATTTATCAACACAATAAAAACAAATCTCTTGTTAACATGAATTTAATGACCTAAAACTTAATAAAAAGCTAAATGAAAGTAAGATTACACAAATTTTATATTAATTCACCCTCAGTTTGATAGCTATGTCCACTGTAGGGATGAGAAAATTTTCACTATTTTCAGAGATGTTACAAGCACTAATGTTCAAGATGAGACTTAGTTATAACCTATAATTACTTATTTATACTCATGGTCACCGCCTCTAATTGTTTCCTTATTTAAATATAAGATATTTTCCTCATCTTTTGGATAGTTTATCAAAAAATAAAAATTACAATCAATCAAAACGGTTTCTATATTTGAATTTTATATTTTTAGATTACAAATAGTAAGTTTCAAAAGAAATCTTTCAGATCTTTATTTATGCGTAGCCTCGACTCTGTAAATGCTTCCCATAGCTTCTTCGCTTATGTCTATGAGTGCGGTCGACCTTATGTTCATTATTTATTCTTCTCAGAATGGTCGACCTCTTTTTTATGTTTGACGCTTCTTTGAAACGATCAACTCCTAACAAAATTATTTGCTTACGTGAAACTTAAAACTGAATTGTCATTAAATATTTAGGCCACGTTTGCTTTGTAAATTTAAATTTTTAATTTGAGTTGAGATATGATATTTTTTAAGAATTTTTAACTATAAAAAAAATTAAATATGACAATTTTTTTAAAAATTTTAACTATAAAAATTAAAAATTTTAATCGATAAAATAAACGAGATTTTAATATTTTTTTTATGATACGTGAGCTCTATTCGGAGTCTAATTTAGGATCCGTTTAGTTCGTTGATTTGAGTTTTTAATTCGAGTTGAGATGTGATTTTATGTGAGAGCTTTTTACTGTAATAAAAAAATTAGATGTGATTATTTATGAGAGTTTTTTATTATAACAAAACTCAAATTCTAAATTCAAATTAACGAAATGAACGTGTCCTTATAATTCAACGTTTTATCTTACAACTCATAAGCTTGGTGGAATTTTGTTTTCCTTTTAAGGGAAGAGAGAGGAAAACCAAGGACAGCGTGGGAGTGGAAAGATTGAACAGAGTACGAAAAAGAGAGGAAGTAGGCATCAATCAATACAACTATAGCTCCGTGATTAGACTAGTCGAACGGCTCATTTGCAGTGTCAGAGTCATTCGCAGTGTTGTACGCATGAATTTATAGTCAAACTTGACCTAACCAAGATACCAGTACTTAGTCCTCCCATGCTCTGCTGAATGCTGAATGCTGAATGCTGAATGCTGATGCCCCCAGTAATAAGTAGTACTGCTGGTTCACATGAGCGCTTAAGCCTTACCTTTCAACTCCATTAATTTAGACCGCTAGCTATTTAATAAGATGATATGTATGACTTATAAGTAAATGTTACTATATAGTAGATGTTGAACTTGACTCGTTTGTTTTATGCGATAAAATTCATGATTTTAATTTTATTATTATATTTTTTTTTATAAAAAATTTAAAATTTAAATGTTAAAATCAAAGAATTACTAATTTAAATGTATAAACCAAACGAACTCGAATTTTAAGTGATTTGGTAAATGAGAAATTCCTGCTCTTTTAAATCACAATTCAGACTTTTTTATTACAATATTTTCTGACAAAAATTTAAAATTCAGCTCAAATTTTTTATTTGAACCCGAGAAACACAATAAATTTAGGCGCCTTAGATATCCGTAGTATATCAACTTATTGTTTTAGCCTTTTGGTCATGAGGCTGATTACTCGCTTTGTTAGATTAATCATTAACATAAACCTTTATATATAACAAGGCCTTAAAAATGTATAATATCTGATCTAATGGTCTATCTTCTCTTTTATTGTTGGAATTCGATTATATCACAACCTCTAAATAGAAAATATTTATCTTAACTTTCATAGCTAGGCTTTTGGCACTTTTTCTTTATGAACTTTCACTGATCAATTGATAATTGTCTTCTCAATTTTAATTGTGAAAAATCACTCCTTGATTTAATAAATATTTCAGAGTAATCCAAATTGATGAATAATGTTAAAATTTGAAGGAAAATGCCCCCATCCACGTGAAATGGCGTGCTTTAAAAAAAATTTCAATATCTTCCTCTAAAAGAGCTCACGTAACTTGTACAACATTTTGTCATAGATTCAGGACACTTTACAAAAAGGGAAAACTTCATTTTGATATTCTGTGTTTTATTGAAATATAAGTTTGATATTTTTATTTTTAATAATTTTATGCTGGTACGTCTACTTTTTATAAAATCTTATTTTTGGTATCTTAAGGCAGTTTTTTAGGACATAAAAAAATAAACTTACCCTTATTATTAAATATAAAAAAAAAGTTTTATAAAAAATCTTAGACCTGCAACCAAATGCCTAAACTTCATTATGTCCCAAATATAATGCAAAAATCTTAGTTGCAGTTTAATATTTTTAAAATGCCTTTTTATATATTTAATAATACGGGTAATTTTGTATTTTCATGTCTAAAAAACTGCCCTAAAATATTAAAAAATATTTTTTAAAAAGTTAAAGTACCGGCATGAAAATATTAAAAATATAGAGTACAAAAATCATATTTCGATATAGTACAGAGTGAATAAGAGAAGTTTACATTTAGGGACAGATTATTTTATACCTCTTCTTTTTCTAGTAGCAGCCCTTAACTGCGAGCACCTGTGTTATTTTAAGTTAAATTGACGAAAAGTAATCCCTATTATCAAATCCATGCTAAATAGCAATATTGGTGTACATAAGAGCACGCATTGCTTACCTAAAAAAAAAAAAAAATCATCATATAATTACTGTGTCAATTACAATTTTAATATTTGAGTGTAAAAAATACTCTCATATACAATATTATTTGTTATTTAAATTTCTCATATGCTATATTTTGTAACAAATTTCTTACTACGTATAGCATATGAGAAATTTCACATTTGATTATTAATTATTGAAATGTTTATTTTTTTCATATAATTAATACAACTTTTACATTTTTTATTTATTTTTAAAATAAAAGTTTACTTTTACAGCTTTCAAATCTTAAAATTATAGAAAAATATATATTTAACTTTTTAAATAGCATTATACATTAGAGTAAAAATAAAAATAATATATTATATCATACTTTTTAATATTAAATATATAATTAATATTAATATTTACATTAAAAATGATTTAAAGTGATAATAATTGCAAGAGTTAAGTATGAAATGGCAAAAAATTTAGATAGATCAATGTGAATCAACCAGTGGCGGAGCCATACAGGGCTAGAGGGGGGACAGCTGCCCTCTAGCCCAAATGGCTCCTTTACAACTCAAGCCTAACAAAAAAAAAATTTTACAAAAGTTTCTCCTAATTTACTCTCCTTAAAATTTTTAATTTGCAATATTTGTATTAATATTTTTAGAAAAGTTTCAGTTATACCCCCAATTTGACTACTTATATATATTTTACATTTAAAATATCAAATAATTCAAAGAATCAACCATAATATTATGTAAATTCACCGTAAAACTTTAGAAGTGTATTAAACTAAA